ATAAAACATGAACCACTTTGATGAATAAATATATATTCCAGGATACCTTAATGACCCTGAGGCTACGGAAGGGACGATTGACAAAGATGGCTGGTTACATACTGGAGACATTGGTTACATTGATGATGATGATGAACTCTTCATCGTTGACCGATTGAAGGAATTGATCAAATACAAAGGTTTTCAGGTTGCTCCTGCTGAGCTTGAAGCAATGCTCATTGCCCATCCTGACATCGTTGATGCTGCCGTGGTCGCGTAAGTGAAATAATGATTAATCCATGTTTATAGTACTATCATAATTAGATTCTTGGTTTAATGGCTTCTGGCTTCGTTAAATACTAATATATATCTGCAATTTCAGCATGAAGGATGAGGTGGCTGGAGAAGTTCCTGTTGCATTTGTGGTGAGATCGGACAAATCACAAATTAGTGAGGATGAAATCAAGCAATACATTTCAAAACAGGTAATTTAAAATTTTCTAATTTAGAACATAAAGAAATTTGTTCAATTATTGCTACCTAGGGTGCCCGTAAGGCCATAATGGTGAGTGGTGAAAGTGGGTCAGTTGGAGATCATGCTTTGACCAAAATTAGGTGGCTCAGCTGGTTGGGCCTACTCGCATTCATGCTAAGATAAAGTTGAACCCAGTCAAGTTGCTATTGCTCCATTTGACCAACTTCTGAATATGCTGCTATTGTTCTGTACAATGGTGCAGGTGGTGTTTTACAAGAGAATAAGTCGTGTGTTCTTCATTGAAGCCATTCCAAAGGCACCATCAGGCAAAATTTTGAGAAAGGAATTGAGAGCTAAACTTGCTACTGGAAACTATTGAAAGTTGTTTCCAGATCCTCCCATTCCCATGGAAGTTTGAACTAATATACGACGAGTGCAAGGGTCCCTATTATAAAGAAGCAGGACTGTTCATATATGCTCCTCCAATATGGCTGATTTATACGAAGCGCATTTGGAAAGAATGTAAATTATGAGATAAAGAATTCAATTTGCTAAAGGACATATAATTGATTAATATCTTGTTTTTTTCTTTCTTTTTGCCTTTTATGGTAAATGGAAGAAGATGTAAGTTTTATTTATTTGCAAGAATGTTAAATGAAAGAAGATGTAAGTTTTTTTATTTGTAAGAATGTTCTCTCATGGAAAATTGCAAATTGAAAACACAAAAACAATACTATAATATAGTTTTCCATTTTGTGGACAAATTCCTTATGGCTTCAGTCATTTTTCGGGTAAAGCAATCTGAATTCAAAAAACTACTCTAGAATTTATAATTTTAATTTCTCATTTTTTCTTCTTTTATTGTCAATTTTGTCTGCTATGCTCCACTTTTGTGGTTGATAAGTGGGCCAATAGAACATTTATGATGCATGAAACCAAAAAATATTCAAAAGATCCAATAAAAAAACATTAGCAATCAAATTCCGGGGTAGCTTTGTAAGCAAATGTTAGAATCCAAAAGCTGACCAACTGCATTTGCATAAAACATTTTTTCTGGGAAAGATTAAACAAAGAAAACTGTTCACTGTTTAGGTTGCTTGATGCCTTTTTCCGACGAGCATATCAAGTATTAGAGATGGATATATTTCTAAGGATACAAGATGCATTAACTATGTCTTAATCTTAGTACAATTAGTGAGATTTAATACATATTGTCCCCCAATTATGCAAAAAAATAATTTTCAATCTGAAAATCTCTCATTAACTATCTTGTTCACGCTTAGTTGCCAAACCTCTGTCATCTCTTCAGGATGAACAATTAAAATTTAATTCCATGTGCAGAAAAAGCTGGCAAATAGAACAGACTCTTCAATGAAATTATCAGATCCTGTTGTTTTGTATACTTCTGAAGTGACAGTTCAAACATAAACTATCATACACAGCTGATCAACCATTACGACTGTAAGAAGTGTTTCCTTTATTCTTTCTTCAGGGTTATTACTTTAAAGCACGTCTCCAATTAATCGAAAAGGATTTAAGAGAGTTGGGTTAAGTGAAGGAAAGAGAAAAAGTGGTATGCTTTTAAAAGGCTTAATACAAAGTTACATTTAACCATAATAGCAACAGGCAAACAACTTTTGATATAACATATACCAACTTCATCGAGATCATGCTCAAGTCAGCTTGGTGAAAAAGCAGGAGTGTGGCCATAAACTTCTCCTGTTCCCTTCAAAACCCAATCGGATTACTCCAATCAGGTCAAAAACACAAAAGGAAACTAGCGAGAAAATTGTAAATATTCCACACTGTAGCCCGGCCCATTGAACCAAGCAGGATTAGCATGATTGATGAAGACTAAGAATGTGAAACTCATTGCGGGTGATGATGGGACTGATCAATTTGAGGAAGGGTGTGGTGGTGTTGCTTGCTAGTCATCATCATGAATGTACCAGCAAAGGAGCATAGTGACACAGCGGCGCAAGATGTAGAGTCGACCACGTTGCTGCTTAACCAAGGAAGCACACTTGGTGGAGAAACCATGCCCCTTTCTTTTTGCTGAGGCCTTTGCTCCACAGTTGTATTGCGGGAATTGAAACTCATGCATGGCTAATAGAAAAGTATTTTACTAGATTTGCTAGAAAGAGAAGCTCAACGTAGAGCTTGAGGCCGTGTGGGTTAAGGGTAAAGTATATATACAATTAGAATCCCAAAATCTAAAAAAGGTTAAGGAAAATTTAAAGGAAGCACGAGAAGAGATTACATGTGTTAGAATTTAAATTTCAAATCAACAAAAGAAAGCTTTATTTTTCTATATTCTCCATTTATAATAATCTTTCTTGGTTGGATTTTGGAAATGATGAGTATCGATCAATAATTATTAATTAAATAATGTGGATTAGAGAAGCGGCAAAGGTGAGCATGAAAAGTGGAGAGCTGTTTAATGAAGACAAGGCAATGGATTTGGCTTATGGGAACAGTGTCCCGGCAAGATGGCCTTAATTTGAGGCAGGACGTTGGTTTTGTCTTGGATTACTTGGATTTCCTCTCCAACGTGGCTCATACTCCCAACTCTCTGTCTCTTCTCTATATGCCTACAACTAACAGATTTTTCCCACTTAAGAGAACAAAATCTTGAGCAATTTCTTTTGCCTACCATTGAATGAAAGAAGTGGAAATCAATCTGTCAGAATCCCAGTTTTATTTCGTTGGAGGTGAAAGACTCAAAAGACCAACTGTTTTTGATTCAATATGTCAGTATTACTTGTTTTGTTGGCAATATGTTATATAATTATCAGTATCCACTATCTAGTATCAATTCAACTCTTGAGAATATACCAGCCTCTGATTACATCTCTTTTTTTGATGTAAAGTTTAAAGACTAAATAAATAAAAAACTTACAGAGAAACTAATTGAACTGCTAGCTGGTGCTTTAGTAGTAGTACTGTTATATTCATTCATTGCAAGGATATATATTGTTGTTGATTCTGGCATCTCACAGCTCTTACAGCTTATTAAATTATTAATTTTATCACAAGATTTTGCATTAGCTTGCTGATCCTTTGTCGTTTTCCATGGAAAACTATCTGAATTTCTTGATCATACATTGTTCAGCTAAGTTTGCTTCAAGAAAAAGATCATAAGAATTCTGAGCAGGTACTTTGTGGGGAAACCAACAGTGATTAGATTTAACATTACTCTGTTGACTATCCTGTGCTGTGATGCAAGCTTACTTGATATTTTCAAAGGATATTGCATGATCATTCCAGTAAATTTGGATACGGAATCTTTATCCTTTCCGTGTATCGCGTTTAGAGCTAGTTAATGCAGACATCTCTAAGTATCTCCATAGATATTTTTTGCTCAAATCCCTGATGCAGAACATGCATCCTTTGTCACTATCACCATAAAATGCTACTCCTGAATCCTAATATATCTTGCAAATCCTATTTAAAGCTTTAAAAAAAAAACATCTTTTATAGGTTTCTAGTCTGATAAAATGGATGGAAATAGAAATAGACTCGAACTCCAAGCCTTCATTTTTTATGTTAGCAGTAGCAGTGTAGCACTACATCATGAGATAACATAACTTCCATCTTTAACAATTACAATCGCATAGAACAGGGTTAAGCTTTGTTGTTTATGTCCTGACAGCTTTGGACCTTCGGTATCATTATTTTTCATACATGGTATGAAATTGAAAGTTGAACCTTTGTTCGAGGAAAATTAATGTCCTTAATTTATCAAATGCCTTGTTTTAGAAGTTGGTTTCTCTATATTTCATCATCTATGACCATGTGCAATGTATGTTGAGATAATAACTTTCAATGACTTAAGATTCTAACAGTACAAATCCAGCACATGATTTCAAGTCAAAACATTATGAATCCCGAGATCTAGCATGACAATTTTTGCGTAATGCATCATACTGTAAATCATTGTGGAAGATTGAAATTGCAAAAGTCATTTACTCCATGCAACACATGCCAACGCATCATCTACCCATTGGACCCCAATAAGCCCAAAAAATAAAAACTTCCAATAAAATAGAAGAAAAATCCCACCAGGGTTGGTGACACCCTCCTTTTCAAACGCTTCCCAAATCTGCCTCTACTTAATTTGTTTGATAGATAGTATGAAATATCCAACTGTCCACACATAATATTTTCGACTCTCCAACTTATTTGTTAGTATGAATTATATTATAAAGTCCAAATTTAATACATTTGATTTTGACCATTTATTTATATATTATAAATAAAAACCATGTGTTATATCAATTATCATGTAAGCAGGAAAAAGTCCAAATATATTTGGGCTTCGGATTTGGGTCTTAGTGACCGTTAGGTTTGGAAATTGAAAGAGAAAGCTTTGAGAGGTAGTTGGAGCAAACGGTCTCTTTTTTTTTTTTTTGGGGGGGGGGGGGGTGTGGTGGTGTTTCAAGTTTCTTGGTTTCTAACTAAGAATTGAAAACACTTGCCAATTTGTATTAAGACCAAAGAGAACTAAGGGTGACGTCAGATTTAGGAGAAGCTGTTGTCTGTGAGATGCCAACCACCGGTCAGCGAAACAAACATGGGTTATTGTCCCTCTTTAAGCATCTCAGTTCGCTTGTCTACCTTAGCTTCTTTATACTATACTTCGTACCCTCCTCAAGGAAAAGCAAACAAGGAAGCTCATCACTTGCAGGCTTTATTGCATTTCCCCTTCACTACTGGTTTTCAACAAAAGTAAGTCGTCAACTGAAATCCCAGTTCCACACTTTCATAGTCTATTCTTTGTTGTCTAGACAAAACTGATTCCAAAGCTTTTTGGTTTTCTATGTGTTTTTTCTTTAGTTAGGACTCTGATCCATAGTTCTACTGTTAGTTTCTGTAATGTAATGTGATCTGTTATTCCATTCGAATCATAATTAACATACTACCGCGAGTGGTATGGCATATGGCATTGAAAGATTCTTATAGTATAAAGTAGTTTTTCTTTTAGTACTTAAAGAGTTTGAATGGATAGTAACTTTTATGACTATGTTGGAATTATGAAAGTAGAAATTTGATTTATTTTAATTCTGAGAATAGTATTGTAACTTGTTTCCGAAACAGAAATTACCTGATAATTTAAGGACATGAATATAGTCGAACTTTTCAGCAAAGATATGATTCATTTCATGTGGATTTTTTTATTATTATCTATGTATCTATGATTGTACGCAGCATTGATGGATTTAAGTTCAAAACTAACATCTTGGTCTCCCCTGGCTCCTTGTTCTATAGCTTGAATCATGAGTGAAGAGATTGAGAAACCTTTGCTGGATCCCGAGAATTTCAACCGGGAGGGGATTGATTTGGTGAGTTGTAGTACAGCAGATAATTGACATTTCCACTGTTTTGGAATTCGGAATTGTATGTTACTAAATCATTTTTCAAATACCCTGTTTCTAAAAGGCACGGTTACCACTAGAGGAAGTTTTTGAGCAACTGAGGACATCCCGAGGAGGACTTACATCTGAAGATGTTGAAGCTAGATTGCATATTTTTGGTCCAAATAAGCTTGAAGAGAAGTCGGTAAGCACTAGTATTTTGAAAATATATAGTTCCAGAACTCCAATTAATTCATCATTATTCATCAATAGTGGAGTCCCTAGAGCATCAGTGGAATAAGATCTTGTTCCATACTAAAGCTCCAAAACTAACGCTAGACTAAGACCAAGTCGCCTATTAGCTCACCAAAATTGTCACTAGATTAAGATCCTGTCATGTTAGAAGTGTGACCATTCACGAAAAGAAATTGGAAAGAGCTTTAATATGATTATATGATAGCTGGCGATGGGATATGGAGGTAGATTATTTGATTTCCTTGAAGCACTGTGACAATGCACAGAGGAAATTACGGAACCATGTCAAAGATTGCTTTCCTGGCCAACTGTAGGTTTAAATGGGTTTAAAGTTCAATTTCCGAATATTGCTTGCCCCAAATGTTCAATCAGCCTTGATAAAGCATAAATGGACTAGGTTTTTGTTACTGATATCCCGAAAGTCACTCAAAAGCTTTTTCATTTCCAAATCCAAAAGTTGCTAGGGAACATGTAGAAACTACTAGTTTCTTGGCTTTTTTTGGGCCACATTACTTTTGACAGCCACTTTTTGGTATAGAAAGCAGCTTGTTTACATTTTATCCAGTTGGAGTAAATTAGTAATTGCTACTTTTTATTCTAATCCAGGAAAACAAGTTTTTGAAGTTTCTAAGCTTTATGTGGAACCCGTTGTCATGGGTTATGGAAGCTGCAGCAGTGATGGCAATTGTCCTTGCTAATGGTGGAGTAAGTTATTTCTTTTATCAAGCACTTTTCGGAGCTTAAATTTCTATTTCAAGTTCTTTTTTTCCTCCCTACTTTTGTTATTAAATGGCTATCCTGATAGCTTTTTCGGTTTCTTTTTTTCAGGGCCAGGGTCCTGACTGGCAGGACTTTGTAGGTATCATTTGCCTTTTGATCATCAATTCAACAATTAGTTTTATAGAGGAAAACAATGCTGGAAATGCTGCAGCAGCACTTATGGCCCGTTTGGCTCCAAAAACGAAGGTATGCCCCTTCTTTGTGGTGCCTTCTACGTTACAGTTAATGTCTGCATTAACTCTTATATTATCATACAAGAATCTATCATTCCCCCCTCTGGAGAGCATTGCCTAATTGCTCTTTCACAGAAACTCTTATCATCTGGTATTTCATAATTTTCTCTAAATCTCTTTAATGCCTTTGCGTATACAACAATATGTCAATTTGCATAATCTTTTTATACAGGTCCTCAGAGATGGGCAGTGGCAAGAGAGAGATGCAGCTATTTTAGTACCAGGAGATATAATTAGCATAAAACTTGGGGATATCATCCCTGCAGATGCTCGCCTTCTTGAAGGAGACCCACTTAAAATTGATCAGGCAAGTGCTTTTTACAGATTAAATAACATGCAAACCTGCTAGGCTTAATATTTGTCACATTTGGTTGTCTGCATTTATTCCTATCAATTAAATAACTGAAGACATCATGTAAAAATTTCTGTTTGCAGTCAGCCCTTACCGGAGAATCCCTTCCAGTCACTAAGAGGACAGGAGATGAAGTATTTTCCGGTTCAACTTGTAAGCAAGGCGAGATTGAGGCTATTGTTATAGCTACTGGAGTTCACTCTTTCTTTGGAAAAGCAGCACACTTAGTCGACTCCACGGAAGTTATTGGACACTTTCAGCAGGTGATCTTAGGACATCAATAATTTTCAGCTTAACAGTTTGTAATTGTTACCAAAATTTCCTCCATAAGAGATCCACCAGCGCTTCTCAGGATGCTTTTCAGCCTTTTGTTAATGAATTTAGTTTGATGGGATGAACTTCACAGTTCTAGTAAGGAACAGAATCTGCTTGTGCATGCTTGGCATTTTTAAACTCTTGGGCATAGGTTAGAATCTTAGCTTTAGCATTCATTTTCCAAACTGTGGTTGGAACTCAATAATAGTTGAGAAGATATTTGGAACTTTGTTAAATTAGGAAAAGATTGTTCTAGGTTCGGTTAAAATTATATGCAAACCATAAATGAGAGTATAATCTGATACAGTTTGCGTGATTTTTTTCTTTCAGGTCCTCACTTCCATTGGGAATTTCTGCATCTGCTCTATTGCTGTAGGGATGATTCTTGAAATCATCGTCATGTTCCCTATACAGCACCGTTCATACAGAGATGGAATCAACAACCTTCTGGTTCTCTTGATTGGAGGAATTCCTATAGCTATGCCAACTGTACTATCTGTTACTCTGGCAATTGGTTCTCATCGACTCTCTCAACAGGTGCAAGCCTTAATAGCTATCCTACCAAAATTTGTACTGCATGGTTTCTGTTTACTGACCTCGTATTTAGTGCACATGATTTTCTTGTAAAAATTGAGGTAAAACATTCATCAAATAGCACAGCAACAAACTAAAACAATTAGTATGACATTGTTTGGTTCGTTTTTTAAGGGTGCCATAACAAAAAGGATGACTGCAATTGAAGAAATGGCAGGAATGGATGTCCTCTGCAGTGACAAAACTGGAACACTGACCTTGAATCGCCTTACTGTTGATCGAAATCTTATTGAGGTACAATAGCTGACTTCATAACCGTGCATTAGATCTATCCACACAACATGGAGGAAAAAATGAATGTTTGAGTGTATTGGAATAACATCTTTGACAAAAGCCTTTGGAAATCTGATGATACTTAGTGATACATCGATTGATAAGTTACACATGATATGTAGTTTTTGATTTCCTCTAAAAGCTGAACTCCTTGGTTTTTGCAATGCCTCGATTTTCAGATGAAGGCTAATAGACAAGTTCACGTTTTGTGCAGGTTTTTAGCAAAGATATGGATAAAGACATGATTGTTCTGCTTGCAGCAAGAGCCTCAAGAATGGAAAATCAGGATGCTATTGATGCAGCCATCGTTAACATGCTTGCAGACCCAAAAGAGGTGAATATAGAAAATGTTCAATTTCAAGGTTCTATTTTTCTGTTTTTTCTTTTAAATGTTTATGTTCAGAGAATGAAAGAAACCTGTACATTCAGGCTCGTGCAAACATCAAAGAAGTTCACTTTCTGCCATTTAACCCAGTAGACAAACGTACTGCCATTACATACATTGACTCCGATGGTAATTGGTACCGTGCCAGCAAAGGAGCTCCTGAGCAGGTAGACATCTTCTTGAAGAGACTTGACTTACAATTCCATGAGTGGTTGCTAATTTTTGCTAGAATCCTAATTTAAGTTTTGGTCAGAACCAGGTTAAAGTTTTTCTATGAACAAAACAGAACCAAGGACAAAGTAATTAAATGAAATTCAACCATAAATTTGTGAGATGGCTCATTTCTGTTGCATAATCATCTTTAAATTCCGTGGAATAAAAATATCCTTGTTTCTTCTTTCTGAAATATTAATACTGATCAATCGTATAAATGCTTGACCCTTACATTTGTATTTGCTACATGAACTTGGGCTTGAGTTTGCACTAAAAGTTTGATGAGCCTACAGAATCTACTTTATTATCACTCGAATTGCATTTTTTTTTTTTTTCACTTTTAAGTTTTACCCCTTTGTTTCTTTTGCTCTTCTCAAGCTTGGTGTAGCTTTGCTTTAACAAACCAGTTTGTGCTGTCTTATGGCAGTTTGGTTTTGGTAAATTAAGTTGCAACAGATCACGAGATTTCTTGTTCTTCTTCCAGATACTAAGTCTTTGCGCAGAGAAAGATGAAATTGCTCGAAAGGTGCATGCTATCATTGACAAATTTGCTGAAAGGGGCTTGCGGTCTCTTGGTGTTGCTTTTCAGGTATAATATCTTTCTGGTTGAAGTTATGGTTTCAAAGTTTAATTCAGAAACTACTTGTCACAAAAGATATCAGTATTGAAATGGAAAAAATATGAAAATAGTTTGAGTTTCCACTTATCATTGAAATTATTCTCTAACATTTTCAGTAACTTTCATAATCATCTACTCAGGAAGTTCCAGAAAGAACAAAGGAGAGCCCTGGAGGTCCCTGGACATTTTGTGGGTTGCTGGCTTTATTTGATCCTCCACGACATGATAGCGCTGAAACCATTCGAAGGGCCTTAAACCTTGGAGTTTGTGTAAAAATGATAACAGGTACATATGAATTACTTGCTTGGTTGGAATCATCAATTTCTAGCATCACTAGACTACCTACTTGTTATGTCGTTCTAGTAGTATTACTCTCATTTGTCTTGAGTTGTGTATTTCATGACTATCTATAAGCTGCTATATGCTGGTTGAATTCATTTTTATCTTGGCATAAAAATTTATTCTCCTTTTATTTTCTGTGAGCAAGACATACAAATATTCATTGTAGAATCTTTTGGGGGTTGAAAAGAAAAAAATTCCCGTGAATGTTATCATCTAATGGAATGTGATATGTTTTCCTAAGTGCAGTTCTAGCATGCTACACTTACATAAACTCACTCAATTAAGTCAGGCTAAGGCTGAACTCGTAGACCAACTCAAGATGCTTTTAACCCCCAAAAGCAGCAATGTTTCATAAATACACTAATCTGTCTTGCACATACTAATATAGGTGATCAGTTAGCAATTGCAAAGGAGACAGGCAGAAGACTTGGCATGGGAACAAACATGTATCCTTCTTCATCATTGTTGGGTCGTGAAAGGGATGAGAATGAAGCTCTTCCGGTGGATGAACTCATTGAAAAGGCAGATGGCTTTGCTGGAGTATTCCCTGGTATTTATCAAGAAAAATATGAATCTTTATTTTATCCCAATTAGCACACCACTTTTAGAGAAATAAACTCAAAGGATTTAAGTGTGCGTTTAAAAGAAGAATCATAACATTTCAGTCAGTTCTCTATGGTACTTGCGGATGAAGCGATGACTAGATCAGTAGCCTAAGAATGGATGAGATAGCTTTATAACGTACCATCATTCATTCATTCCTATTTTTATGACTTCATCCCCTGACTTGGCCTACATTTCTATACAACTTTCAGAACACAAGTACGAAATTGTAAAGATTTTGCAAGAAAAGAAGCATGTGGTGGGTATGACTGGAGATGGTGTGAATGATGCGCCTGCTTTGAAGAAAGCAGACATTGGAATAGCAGTGGCAGATGCTACAGATGCTGCAAGGAGTGCTGCAGATATAGTCTTGACTGAGCCAGGCTTAAGTGTGATAGTCAGTGCGGTCTTGACTAGCAGAGCTATATTCCAAAGGATGAAAAACTATACGGTAGAGTATCAATCATTTAAACAGCAGCTTATATCTTTAGCAATGAAAAACTGCCATAGAAAGTGTACTCACCTAGATCACAAGTAATATTCAATAATCAAGCATAACTTTATCACTGTCTGACTTTAAGATAAGAGGTATTATAGCTGACATGCTACAACTGCTTTTGTCATATTGCACGTTTTCCAAACATAGCCTAGCCTGGTTGGTTCTCACAAAACCGCAAATTTGGAGTAATACTCGGAAGTTAAAAATTTGTGTTCTGTTGATACCTAGATTTCCATATTGATAACAACGACTGTTGTTGCAAATACTGAAAATCTAAAAATACTGTTTTTGGTAAATTTAAAATTTTGAGAAAAATAATACTATTTTCCTTAAGGTTTTATTTGACCCCACTGTATTATTTACTTAGTAGATATGTAAAAAGGTTGCAGTCAAAAAAATTTTGAAGATACAATGAAATCCAATGACTGGCTGCATTTTTCATTAACGAAATCAATTCACTAAGCATTCACCGATATATCATAAGATTATTGAACTTTTATAAAGATTTTTTATAACAAAACTTTTATTAGAAGAAGTCTGGAGTTTGAAGAATGAATGAGGGTTTCGAAAATTGTTTTTGTGTATTTTTCAAAAAACCATATGAGTTTTTTATAAATAAATAAGTGTTTTTTTCTCCTACAAACATAACTATTTATTTTGAATAGATAAAAGATCTCTGTTTTTTAATAGTTAAAACTGCTTATTTTAAGTAGATTTATTTGTATATTTTATACAAACTTAATTGTTTGTTCTGTTTTTTTTTTTTTTTGTCTGGTTTCAATAGATTTTAATCAATTAAACACTTGAAAGCTCTAAATAAAATAAAATTTTATAAACTTTAAATAAAATAATATTTTATTTACACTACAAGTGTCAAGTGCCATTAATTAAATATTAATATATATTAATTATTTAATTAATGCAAGACCAACTAAGCTTAAAAAATCAAACCCATGATCTATTAGCTACTTAGTCCAACTATAATAAATTTTTACTCTTAATTTAAATGACTGTCCTATCATTTCCGTTTTTAAATTGAAATTATTTCTTATATTTTATTTTGAAATTTTCTAACACTGTGCCTTGCTTGAATGTGCAGATATATGCTGTCTCCATAACTATTAGAATTGTGGTAGGTTAATTTCTTTCACACTTTCAACTGTAGTATTCACTTTCATGGACTTATGACTTCGGTTTTACATACTGATATGTTTTTCATAAATAACTATACTCTTGCAGCTTGGTTTTGTGCTTCTAGCTCTGATATGGGAATATGACTTCCCACCTTTCATGGTTTTGATAATTGCAATCCTTAATGACGGTAGTATTTCAATCTATGATAGCCTTTCCTTTGGATTTTTAATCAGGAACATCAAGGCTTCATAAAGTATTTGCACTGAAAATTTTACCTTGGATTTTTAATCAGGAACTATTATGACTATTTCCAAAGATCGAGTAAAGCCATCTCCAGGTCCTGACAGTTGGAAGCTTAATGAGATATTTGCAACTGGCATTGTCATTGGAACCTATCTTGCTTTGGTTACTGTCCTTTTTTACTGGATTGTAGTTGACACTGAGTTCTTAGAGGTATTTAAATTTACAAATCTTGTTTCCTCTTTCTCTCCCTACAGATATTTTTGGAAACTAATTATTTTTCCTAAAAATCTCTTCTTTTTGTTGCAGACTCACTTCAATGTAAAGTCTATATCCGACAATACCGATCAAATTTCCTCTGCAGTATATTTGCAAGTTAGCATCATTAGCCAGGCTCTCATCTTTGTTACTCGTAGTCAAAGTTGGTCATTCCTTGAGAGGCCTGGTGTTCTCTTGATGTGCGCATTTGTGGTGGCTCAACTGGCGAGTTTCTATGAAAAAATTTGTCTGTTAAGAAACAAAGGCAAATCAGGAAAAGTTTTTAAACCATTAATGGTGTATCCCTTCTCATTGTGCAGGTGGCTACCTTAATTGCTGTTTATGCAGATATTAGCTTTGCTTATATTAACGGAATTGGATGGGGATGGGCTGGTGTTATATGGCTGTACAGTTTAATTTTCTATATACCCCTGGATATCATCAAGTTCATAGTTCGCTATGCATTGAGTGGAGAAGCCTGGAATCTCTTATTTGACAGAAAGGTCAGTGCCCTGTTCCTTGTTTTAATACTTATTACGGTATAAATCTTTGCTTGAAGAGACTTTTCATGCTCTCCATGTGCAACAGACTGCATTTACCTCCAAGAAAGACTATGGAAAAGAAGACAGGGCGGCCAAGTGGGTTCTTTCTCAGAGGAGTCTACAGGGCTTGATGACCGCAGACTTGGATTTCAATGGTAGAAAATCAAGATCTTCATTGATAGCTGAGCAGGCGAGGCGGCGTGCTGAAATAGCCAGGTACCTTCGACATTGACTTATTTTAGCTTTAAAAACAAGCAATGAACATCTCTTGAAATGAGGTTGCTGAAACAACTTAATTTTGCAGACTTGGGGAGATACACACTTTAAGAGGTCATGTAGAATCAGTTGTAAGGCTCAAGAATTTGGATTTAAATGTGATCCAATCAGCTCATACAGTCTAAACAACAAACGTGAACATGGTATTTCCGGTTATTTTAGTGAAGGTAAATCTAGCAGCAGTTGCTCACATAAGTATTGTTGTGTATATTCTCGAAAGAAATCAGCATTTGTTGCCCACGAGTCGCTAAAAATCGAATCAGGGATCGGTCCCCTCCCTTCATTTTGGCTTCCAAGGTCAGTAATGCATTATCAACAGTCCTTTAAGCGAACAACTCCTGCCATCTTCTAGTATGTGTTGCAATTTTTTGATATAGAACAGGACTCTTTATCTTGAGATTTCAACATTCTTCTTTTCATTTGCATTAATTTTTGTAATATTTAGTCAATTCCAAAAATAATAATCTACCTGACACAGTGGAAAATTTTCTTTGATGAATTTCTTTGAATTATTCGTAGTCCAGAGCTGGAACACAGCATTATACAATGTGGCATTAAGTCATAATCTGCAACTGCTGCTCTTGTATGGTTACTTATATTATCGACTCTGATGCGCCTTGCTGCTTATCTCATCTGTGTCAAATGCTTTAAATTTTCAACTGAGGTGGTACACTAGTTTAACAGTAGCAGTTTTGATGCACTAATCCTCCCATTATCACACATTCGAGTATTTAAGTTCTTTGTCAGAAAAAAAAAATAAGAAAATAAAAAGAGCAAATATACGAGTCGAAAAAGAAGGGGGAAAAAGGGGAAAAAGAAATGGAAAGAATTGAAGAAGCTTCCAATGCGTATGCACGGTGTAATTTTGGGCTAACTTGGCAGACGGTCTCTTTTTCCAACCGTTTGAAAGTTCGGGACTTGCCCTTTGAACGAAGCAAAACTTGGGGCCCGAAACCAGACTCACTCTTCAAGAAACAGCAAAGGTAAAGCTGGCATTGACTCGGCCCAAGGATTTCATACCTTTAAATAGAAGAAAGGAAACTCAACCCTGTTTCCTCACGTTTAATTGATTCTTGGAATGGAATTTTTTAATTATTACCATTTAAATTTTCAACATATATTAAGGTAAATTTCATTCAGATTTTTTAGTTTTGAGGTTAATTTAACACAAATTCGTTAATTTGAAAAATAGATAATCCCCCCATTATGTTAAATAATTACAGAATTACCCCCTTAAAATTTATTATATTTATATATTTATTAAATATATAGTAACAAAAATTATTTATATTTAAACATTACAACTTTTTAACATGGCTTTATTTGTTATAAATGATTTTTATTTTAAAATGAATAAGTTTATCATCATTATATTTTCACAAACATATAGATTTAAGTTTAAAATTATACCAGTATTATAATAATTAAAACCAAATTAACAAATATTTAATTGTGATTATTATTTTTTTCAACCAACCTTTTTCATAGTATCTCTTTCATTTTTTTAATTGTTGAATGCAAAAATAATATTACATGCTTAATAGATTTGTTTTATTATACATATAGTTACATATTACTCTACTTATAATTGTAAATTTTGTTTTCATTATTGTATCTAAAATTTTTTATTATTAATAGATTTGATATATTTTGAGAAAAATAAAAAACATTATGATAAAATATTACTTTATGTTAACATTTGAGGATATTTATTTTTTAAAAATAAAATAGTTTTTAAATGAGATTTTTAACATAGAAGGACCGAATTGTCTTATGAAATTAAAAAATTTGGGATAAGTTGTACATTTTCTAAACTAATAAACTTGTATTGAATTATATTCAAAACTTAAAAACGAATGAATTTTACCTTACATTAAATTAGAGAATTCTATCTAAAATTAAAAGAATTGATTCTATCGAAGCAATGAATATTTGGTTCAATAATACATTAAATACTCAAAATGACGAGACTTATATAAAATTTTGATAGATTTTATATAATTTTAAATTAATGCTATAATTATAGGTAATATACTTTTTCAAAAGTTTGGATTTAAGTATCTTTTATCAAATAAATAATAATTTATTAGATTTTTTGAGAAACAAAAATAGTGAAAATAAACAGCGATGAAATTCTATGGTATATTTGGAGATGTGAGTGTGTGAATTTAAATTTCATTTGTTTTATGAATTATGAAAATAAAATGCATACATTATAAACAAATTAATTAAGATTTAATATCTTATATATTTAATAAGAATTTAATAATTGAAAAATAATCACAAATATTATGTGTACACGTGTTTTATTAAATAATTTACACTAATTTTAAAATCCAAAATTTTTTTAAGTACAAATTACCAAATTCAACCTTATTGATTTGGCATTAAAAAACAAACAGAATATAATAAAAAATCTTCAAATTCTTCATTTGGTGATTAAAAAAATATGAGATGAGAATTCAAATCCCATCATCTTTATTCTCTTATCTTTTAAAAATAAAGAAAAACAGAACATGGGAAAAAAAAAAAACTTTCGAGCCCCGATTGGCAATTTTATTATCTGTGAATGTAATAACATATTTAGAAATGGGAAAGAAATTCCGGGGCTTAAAACAGAAAAATGGTAAGACCAAAATAAAACCAGGATTTAAAAAAAAAAAAAAAAAGACAAAGAAAATGCCAGCGATCACCGACACGAGTTGGAGTAACCTTGCAAACATGGTATCTCAAAGATAAAAGTTGTACATTATTAAACGCCACATGGCGTGGAAAGCAATATCTTTGCGTGGTCCTTTTTTGACAAATCCATTTCTCCTACCATTTCGTCAAAAAATTTTTTTTATTTTATTATCAAACATTTATACTAATTAATTATACTTTTAAAAAAAAAAAATATCTTATCATCTTAAGTTTCACAATCCAGATTAATAAAAAAACAGTATCTCTTTGATTCTTTGAATATATTAAATTAAAAATTTTATTTATAAAATTAAAAATTTTACTAATGGTATAAAAACGCACTGCTTTTTCTAGACAAGCTTTTTTTTTTTTTTCAGACAAGATTTATAATTTCTTTGAATTTTTTATTTTTTATTTTTTATATTTGGTCCAACATTCGTTTCCATTGTTTATTGTTACGGGTGTCATTCGAACAAACTAACCCTTTTGCCTTCATTACAAGATTTTGATTATAAGTCTGTTGATTTTAACATCAAAACTAGTTCATTTAATTTTGTTATTTTGAAGCTTAAGGAATCATTTCATTTCATATTTTTCAACAAACCTTTGAAAAAGACATTATTCATTAAGTCAACATTTTAACATTTTTTTTTTGTCACAAACGAGTTTTCCAATTTAACAAGTTAATCAAATTTCATTTAATCTGTTCCAATAAAATATTTCACGTAAACTTCATCAATTTCACTAATTAGTTATAATATACACATCAGCATTTTCAAATTTTTTTTTTAATATTTTAATAAAATCATTTTTTTAACATATGAAAGATTAGGGTGACTGGAAGCTTCCCTAAATCAAGATCAAAACAGATCAGAATTTACATACAATTCATAAAATTTAAATTTTTTAATACTTGAGGTTATTAAATTTTAAATTTGAATATTGAAATTAAAAATTAAATTTTTACTAATAGATTATGTAACTATTGATAAATTTAAAAAATTTACTAACATAGTATGATGATTGCCACTTATTCTACTAATAAATTAATTTGAAAATAAAATGAAATATGATAATATTTTAAATTTTTTAGCGTAAAAAAAACTCCATGGAGAATGAGATTTTTTAATTGCAAACTTAACATATAAGGTAACAAAGCTTATAGACCGTTTTTAAAAATAGTTAAAATATTATTTAAAATTTATAATTAATGTAGTACTTTCACTAAATTAAAAAAATAAAGCATTAATTATATAAATACAATATTAATCACCGTCACAAATGCACGAGTTAATAATTTTCACATACAAATTCTTTGTTAATTAAATTAGCGTTAAGCTTTTTGAAAATTAGCATTAAATTGTATGGTAGACTACTATTTAACAAATTCAAACACCAAGCTTTTTGAAAAATGGACTCTAATTTTCTGGGTACAAGCTACAAAGGAAAAACGCAAAAAGGGGATCTATGTTTGACTTTTGTGCTATGCTTAATAGAAGAATGAAAAAGTAGTCATAATGAAAATTTTATTAATTTAATAGTTAAATTTAATAATTATTTTTTATTTTATAATTTAATTATTAGATTAAAATTTTTTTATTTTTATTTTTGTATTGTGTAAAATATTAAAATTTATATATTCGTATCGTATTTTATATAAAAATTACGTGTTAAAATTTATATTGATATAAAAATTAAATATATATTTTTTTATTTTATTAAATTTATATATAATTATTGATAAAATTTTAAATCGTATCATATTTATTTTTTTATTATATTTATGTTATGTTACTGTATTATATTTTAAATTATCAAATTTAATTATCAGATCTACCTTTTTTCTTTTTCTTTCTTACCAAGCAAAAGTTAAAGATCAATGAAAACCCCATAGTCCCCACCTTTAATTACCTAATTGAAGTTCATGTGACAAAATTAGGATATTAATGCAAAAGTTTGAAGTCCAACCAAATTGCAGGGTTGATCAAATAGTTATTCATTAAAAATTAGGCAAGTGAAATGTAACCTCATTAACAGAATAACTAGAAATGACTAAGATTAATCAGAAAGTAGCAACCCCCATACTTTATTTTGTGTTGTTACTTGATAATTCCATATCAACCATCAAGTTTTTGTAGATAAAAACAATGCAAAATGAGACCAGCAAAAGTTTTTTTTTTTTTTTTTTTAATTTTTTGGTACTGTGGTGTGAGGTTAGTATTTATGTGCCTTATTCAAATAAAATAAAAAAATCACAAGCTTAATTCAATTAATTGATATATAATTATTTTTAAAAATAATATTTAATAAATTTCAATACTTATAATTTTTTTATAAAAAACAAAAGTGTTTTTTTTTTTTTTTGCTTTTGTGGTGGCCATGAGCTTCCTTACAAACCTTCCAGATACAAAAATACTACTGAAATTCTTGACCGGATATGTTTCAATCCCATTTGCTCAACCACCCTGATAAAAAAAAAAAAAAAAACTAAATATGACACTATTATTATTATTCTTTTACGGGTCTAATGCCACCAAAATTGTCATCATTTAAAGAAAAAAAAAGGAAAGAATTGAAAGGAAGGTAAGGGTGCAATTTGAAAATGCTAACAGCTTTGATTCTGATAGTGACTGCCACACAATCCAAAATGTCAACAGTTTTGCCATCATTCTAGTCATCCTTAAACCAGTTTAATCATTCAAGAATCCATGCCGAAATTTACTCACTTCAAAAATCTATTACCAAAACAAAACTAAACTGAGACAATCTGAAAATTATGAACCGACAAATACTTTGTCAAAAACAAAAACAAGAAAAATGGGATGGAAATGGTATAGATGTGAATCATGCACTTTACTTTCCACTTCAACTGTAATCATTTACTGTTATTAAAGGTAATTATGTTCATTTAATTATTTTATCAATAATTTAGTCTTTAAAACAATGAATTATTATGGCTATCTATCTATATTTTTTTCAGGTTCTTATAAAATATAGTATGGGACCATATCTTTGATGTCAAGTGGCCAACTACTTTCTAAGCCCCTCAAAACTATGTATAATTGTGATGGAAAATGTTAAAGCCTCGTGAAAGTTACAGCTGCAGTTTTGGGTAAGCCTTGTGAAACCCCAAAGCCTAAAATTATGATTACAAAAATAAAATAAAACCCCAAAGCCAAAAGCGTGTAAGCCTTTGAAGGTTACAGCTGCTAAAGGAAAGAACGAGTATTTAGCAAAGTCAGACACACCTACCAAAAGCGTAAGCATCTATTTACTTTTTCTTTTTTTAACAGTGTCAGTCACATAAAAAAGAACAAAAACAAAAACCCAAATTACAAAAAATAGGAATTTGTGATGTCTA